CGTTCATTTTGACTGTTAATATATGAAGGACTAAAGATCATAGTAATATAAAATCAAAAAATCATGAGACATTGAATGACACGTTCTGCACTATGATTTTCAATACTTCGTATCTGTATATGTGATACTAAACTGCGTTTATTGTGTACTTATTGCCTCAAATGGCTTCTGATTGAAATCACGTGTAATCCTAATCGTGGAGCAACTTTTGCCGACTTTGTTTCCAGTTTCCGACGGAAGCAGGGTATGGTTTAGCAATGACACGCCGGACAGCACAGCACTCCACGGAATATCTCCTAGGCCCGTGAAGAAGATGTCGTTCAAAACTGGTCCGAAGCAGAGGGCGAACACTCAACCAACGCCTCCCGACAGTCCGAGATATAAATAAGGTGTTTTGTACCAGCATCATAAACGAAAAGAACATTTTTTGCACAAGAGGTTGTTTGGGCATATCCTAGACATCGTAATTTAAGAGGATTCTTTAAGATACAATGTGTTACAATAACATACAGAGCAGACAGCCCACTGTTTCTTAAAATTGAAGGCGATACCAGGTGAGAGTCGTAGCGGGTAGCTTTGAGTAACGTACTATCTCTAAAAAAAGAGAAAAGACAAGTATTCTTGACGGTGGGCGTCGAAACATCTGATTAGTCTTAGCGTTTTCTGTTCTCCGTCCTTAGGTTTAATTTTTATATTAAATATGTACAGATCGTTGTTTATTTGTTGCAACGTGAATATATTAATTTATTGGATCGTAAATAATACCGAGAAGATTTAACTGGTCAGAGATAACATCATAGCTAACTAGATATTTGTTATATACACCGAATTAGTGTCACATGACAGCTATTTTCATTGTACAGTACTTTATTAAGATCAGTTTACCCTGTGTACTTGAATAGGTAAGCTTAAATAATTAATATCGACTTATAAAAGCTTCTATCTNTCATTGCAACTTAAAAAATAAAAAATAAAAATATTTCACATCAATTCGTTTCATGGAAAAAATAACACGAACAATCCGACACCTTTCATTTCTTACAATTAGCTTACTTATTGCACCTTAGAAGATTCTGTTCCCTTTAGGAATAAAATGATAAAAATCAAGATTTTCTATTTCATAAGTATAAGTAGTATAGATCACTTTTTACTAGTCTTTTTTAAAAGTGCACGTTCATTTTGACTGTTAATATATGAAGGACTAAAGATCATAGTAATATAAAATCAAAAAATCATGAGACATTGAATGACACGTTCTGCACTATGATTTTCAATACTTCGTATCTGTATATGTGATACTAAACTGCGTTTATTGTGTACTTATTGCCTCAAATGGCTTCTGATTGAAATCACGTGTAATCCTAATCGTGGAGCAACTTTTGCCGACTTTGTTTCCAGTTTCCGACGGAAGCAGGGTATGGTTTAGCAATGACACGCCGGACAGCACAGCACTCCACGGAATATCTCCTAGGCCCGTGAAGAAGATGTCGTTCAAAACTGGTCCGAAGCAGAGGGCGAACACTCAACCAACGCCTCCCGACAGTCCGAGATATAAATAAGGTGTTTTGTACCAGCATCATAAACGAAAAGAACATTTTTTGCACAAGAGGTTGTTTGGGCATATCCTAGACATCGTAATTTAAGAGGATTCTTTAAGATACAATGTGTTACAATAACATACAGAGCAGACAGCCCACTGTTTCTTAAAATTGAAGGCGATACCAGGTGAGAGTCGTAGCGGGTAGCTTTGAGTAACGTACTATCTCTAAAAAAAGAGAAAAGACAAGTATTCTTGACGGTGGGCGTCGAAACATCTGATTAGTCTTAGCGTTTTCTGTTCTCCGTCCTTAGGTTTAATTTTTATATTAAATATGTACAGATCGTTGTTTATTTGTTGCAACGTGAATATATTAATTTATTGGATCGTAAATAATACCGAGAAGATTTAACTGGTCAGAGATAACATCATAGCTAACTAGATATTTGTTATATACACCGAATTAGTGTCACATGACAGCTATTTTCATTGTACAGTACTTTATTAAGATCAGTTTACCCTGTGTACTTGAATAGGTAAGCTTAAATAATTAATATCGACTTATAAAAGCTTCTATCTTAATTTATAATCGAAGATAACGAGCTCCTCGATGTTATATAATATATATATACATACATACATGCCTTCATAAAAAAGAAGATAACTTTTATTTCTTGTAATGTAGGTGATAAAGAAAGAAAGAAACATGTTTACCGGAATATATCGCGGATATATAATCGCGGAACTCATCTGCATATGAGTGTTGAATAAGAATCAAATGTTATTTTTTAACAACAAATATTTTGCAAATCAACGTGTTAGATACTGTAATAAGTTTATGGTTTACCGGTCTGATTTCCGTTCGATACATTTGAATTCTCGAGTGATAATAATTCAACGCAGTTTCTTTTTTTACATGTTACATTCCATAGGAACAAGTTTTCTATATTCTACTCCTGGCTGAAAAAACTTTCGGATACAATCAAAGCATTCCATTTTCCTTTTTTTGTATAATCGAATTTGACAAACAGAACTCTTTTTCAAATGTTAGTATATACGCCAGAATTGTTTTTACATTAGTGTATACGAGAAATTAATTAGGGAACAGTTTTCGTTTGTCATACCAAAGTTACAGGTACTTGGTGCTTTACGATACGTAAAATAGAGATATTTTAAATACTGTGTCAAAACATATTCCTGAATAGCAATGGTAAAAATGAAAGGAAAACAGAAGCGAAATCGATAAAAGAGTATTGAAAGTCAAAGTTTGTTTGCTTCGGAAAGGAATTTTTGAACGGAGTGATAATAATCAAAGTATTAATATTGTTCGTCGCTGTCGAGACATAAACGGAATTTTAGGAATGATGTTATAATTATATCGTCGTGAATATTGAATACGGTATTCGGTATTGTAATAAATATACATTTCGCGTTTTTTGACCATTTTGAGGAATTATCAGAGGGAACCGCATTCGATTCGAATTCGTGTAGACGTTTAGCAACGAAGTTATAGGTGAATAATAATTACCGATATGCAGACCATGGCCAAAGCAGCATTATTTTTTCACTAATTTATAACGAAGTAGATGTGAGGAAGGAGAGCCGTGTGTATATGTGTTGTACATAAATCGTTAACCACGCGAATGATATTGAGTGGTAATTATTCTTCGCGAAACAATTATTGTATCGCCGTGTTATTGAATGGAAAAAAGAACAAAAATTACTGGTCTATACATATACGTATGCGTATATACATATTACATATAAAGAAGAGAAGAAACGAAAGAACTTATTACGGTTTTGCGTAAGATTGCTTTTGCGAGAACGTATTTAAACATTGTACTTAATTAACGCACTTTATTAGTATCATTGTAATGATCGCTCGCTATTATTTATGTCATAAATATAAAAAACGCTGTTAACATCATTAGCACTGAACTATTTTTCTTACTGGATAATTACGCTTGTAACAATATCAGGATTGTATTTAACAAGTTGTGAAAAGAAATAGCGAAGGGAATCATCGAACTATCGTTTCCATAAAAATGCAGATTGCGGAACCCCTTATGTTAGTGATCATCGAAACTATAATTAGAATCAATATAAAAAATATTGCTTCATATTTCGTATTCACCTGTTTCACCACTTTTTTTTTACATATCATCGGATTGTCTCTATGTGTATAAGAATTACTAAAAGAAATATTTAAGAGTAATAATTGTTCACTCAAGATAATCTATATAAATTCCATCGTGTCTCTTTACTCGTAACAAGAGTGTTAGTTTCTTTTTCCAGAATCTAAAATTGAAAACGTACAAAAGAATACGAGATTGTGATTCGTCATTTCTATATCGATGTGAAATCGAGTTAATATATGTCTGTATATGTTCTTCTATTGATTATTTTATACGATCGAAAAAGAATAATCTTTGCCCTCTGACTTAATAAAGTTTTGCCAAAAAAGGTAATAGAATCGCATAGAAAACTCAGCTACTTTCTTGTTCACTTAAATTAAAATGACAGCGTAATTAAATTCTCAAATGTTTAGTCTAATGGGAACATTGTTCACGTTTATGGCGATTAGGATTTTTGTAGCGCCAATTTTTTGCGGTCCCTAAAGTTAAACTATTAGAAATTTCGAAATTTTTGATGAAGGTAACATTGTACAATCTATTGCGAAATTCGAACTCCGTAACAACGTTTATAGGATTTGTAGCGACAAATAGGGCGGATAATAATCGGAAGTAGAGGAATGATCAAATTACGTATTCGCATTCGTATTGAGACATGTTAAAATAGGTAATTCTTTCGTAGATACGGTATTTGGAATTGATCTTAACACACGATTTCCCATAACAGAGAATTCGTTACCCAAGAATTTCTCCGATTGTACGCATTTCTGCGATGGAATGTACAACTTATTGCACAATAAAATTATAATGAATCAATTTCATTTTCAGATGGTTTCAAACATATTTTAAATTCGAAATTACGCTTTTTCTAGTTCTCGTTCCCGCTGATAAGTGGCGTGAAAGATCGTCGTGAATCATTCTTGCAAAATGGCTATTGATGCAAGTGTAGAGTGTAGAAGTAGGCTGAGTTAATTAGTGTAATCAAAAGCACGTTCTTATTGATCAAAGAGTTATTGTGTCGTGATTTTCAATATCAAAGTCCGACGAGTGATTCTTGACGAATAAAGTATTTTCATATCCTACGCCTCTCGTATCTGATCAAACGCTATTGTGCTGTGTGTGACGAGAGTAAACAGCGCGGAAGTACGAAGAGAGTGCGTCGGGCTGTCAAGAGCAAATTTATATCAATTCGTTCTCAAGCATAAGAGTTGATGAATGTCTGAGAGTGATACATACGATTCCGCGGACGAATACACAAGCCTGATGGACGGTCACGTCGCGGAATCTCGCACGGACGACCTGGGCTTGGTCACTGGTCGAAAGAGGCGTTCACGGATTAGTAACGAGGAGGTAATTGCCTCAGTTTCATTCAACATCATTTAAAACGTCCCTGTTTGTTAGTTCAAACATTTGGAATCACTGTGTCCAAAGGGACACAAGAGTTATCAAACAGAGTGACAGTAGATTATCCAAGTTTTTAATCAAAGCTTTGCAGAGCAGGAATTTCAATATAGAATTAATAGAAATATTGATTCTAAACTTTTTATGTAACAGAAATCTTGTATTTCATAACTTACAGGAAAATGGTGTTCTTGAAGTTCATATTCAGTCACCAGATATATCTAACAGTACCAGTTCAGGCAGAAGAGGCATACCAGACGATGGAAGCCAAGAAAGACGTAGAAATTATAGAAGAGAAGAAGAAGAACAATTGAAATATGGTGCAGCACATGTTGTAAACTTGTTTGTGCCCGTATCTCTCTGTATGTTAGTCGTAGTGGCTACAATTAGTTCTATAAATTTCTATACAACCAAAGGAATGTATCTGTGAGTAACCTGAAGATGATTTTACTACATCTTCGTTAATCTGTTTGTTAAACAAACGATATTACTTCATTTCAGACTATACACTCCATTTCATGAAGACAGTAATGACACGAGTACCAAAGCTTGGCAAGCAGTCGCCAATTCTTTGATCTTAATGAGTGTCATTGTATGTATGACTGTGATACTTATTTTATTGTATAAATACAAATTTTACAAAGTAATCCATGGATGGTTGATAATAAGTTCCTTATTGTTGTTGTCTATGTTCTCTATGTTATACTGCGAGTGAGTATCGTTACTTCTCACGATTATTTTTAACTAAATAGGATCTAAATCAACATGTGTTTTGTAGGCAAATATTAAAAGCATACAACATTCCAATGGATATGTTTACTTTAGGAATAATTCTATGGAATTTTGGAGTAGTTGGGATGGTTTGTATACACTGGTATGGACCCTTGCCATTGCAACAAGCATATCTTATTTTTATCTCCGCTTTGATGGCTCTCGTTTTTATCAAATACCTGCCAGAGTGGACAGCATGGGTTGTGCTGGGTGTCATCAGTATCTGGGGTAAGGTAAACTTGTTACTAAAAAATATATTAATGCGACAGAAATACGATAATTTCCTTGTTCAGATTTGATCGCTGTATTGATGCCGAAGGGACCTCTAAGAATTCTTGTGGAAACCGCTCAAGAGCGAAACGAATCTATTTTCCCGGCGTTGATCTATTCTTCTACAGTCATGTACACAACCTCGATGACTTATGCTGGTTACATCCAAACAGCAACGATGACTACCAGCGATTCTACTACTGGTGACACCACGGCATACCCTATGCGTGGCCAAACGGATAATCGAGCTAATACTGCTTCTGAGGAGACAGAAGGCGGGTTCAGTCCCGAATGGGTGGAAACACACGGTATTACAAATTTAGCCCATCGCGCATTTAGTTGTTATTCTAACTGACATAATATACGATTAGGCGATCGAGGAGCGAGACGGGCTCAGGAAGTAAGCGAGAACGCATCGTCATTGACAGAAAGCTCGAGGCAACAGGATAATGAAGTTGCACGTGAACCACGTTGGCCACCAAACCAGAATGAAGAGGATCGAGGAGTGAAATTAGGGCTCGGTGATTTTATATTCTACAGCGTTTTAGTTGGAAAGGCTTCCAGCTATGGCGATTGGAACACTACTTTGGCTTGCTTCGTTGCCATTCTCATTGTAAGTATTTTGCGTTATCGAAATACGTAGATTTGTTGCAAGTCATTCTTCGTACTTCCAGGGGCTCTGTTTGACATTACTGCTGCTGGCGATATTCAGGAAAGCATTGCCCGCATTACCGATCTCTATTGGTTTTGGTTTAACATTTTATTTTGCCACGAGGGTAATCGTCGCTCCGTTTACTGACAAATTAGCGAGCGAGCAGGTGTTCATTTAACCGTAGGTATAATAACCATGACAATTCAATAATTTATTACGAAAAGTTGATGCCTATTCGTGTACCGATCATTTAGCTTTCATATTCCGTTTAATAATTCGTTGTCCAACATAAATTATATCGATGATCCTACGACATGGTACAAATCACCGTGCATTATGTGAATTGGATGATCCAGTATTTTTTAATCAATTAGCATCCGATTGAATTTAAGCCGATGAACATTTACACTGGTTGATATAGTGTCCCACAAACTAATGCTCAAGATATGAATTAACATTTGTAAGATAAATAACAGATATAATAAATAACGATTATATTTATGTGATACTCGTTGCACAGTATGTACGATATGCAACGCTTAAATACCCTTGACGATTTTTGGTTTTTTCTTCTAGTGTACAAATCGTGATTAAAAACACTGAAAATCGTTTGAGCTATGACAATTTATTATGTCTTTACACTTATAGAACATAGATCGCGTAGATCAAGTATAAAAAAGCGGTTGATGATATTTATTTTTTCTTTCATTTTTCATTCGGGAACCGTATGAAACATGAGGTATAATGTTTTGTTTTAAATAATTCGCTAAATGTACAGACCTCGCGGCTACCGACTACTAGTACCACTAGTCGACCACAATTATTCCTTCGGGGTTTAAAGTCCGTTTATACACAGCCATGGAATTAAATATCATTCGCCACATTAATCGTAAAACTTTAGACATTCGCTTCGATAACAACGCGTATTGCTATAAGTTTTATTACTGCTAATTCGATATTAAATAACGAAGATTTTCGAATAGCAGATTCACTAATAATGGACATTTTCGTCACTCACAGAATTCAAGGCAAAATGATTTGGCCGTGGTAATAGAAAGACATTTTCCTTCCTTTGTTGTTACAGTATAAAATTCTTGTGATTAGAGAAGCGTTTATACTGTACATGGCATTGAAAAGATAATTTCGCGTCAAATTGCGGGTTTCCTCTTTTTTCCTTTATAGAGAAGCACTTTAATAGCGGATATAAACATTTTGCCGAGAATAATCAATTAGCGTTTTTTCTTCACTAACAATTCGCTTATTGCAGTAAGCATGTAACGATTCCAAGACAACTTTAACATCGCTGTTCCTTTCTCTCGCCTCTCTATTTCTTTACAAACTTTGCCGCGGAACGCATTATATACAATATATTATATATATTATAAATAAATCCCCGGAACCGGAAGAACTTCAACAGCGATATGATATATTATTTGCACTTCGTAAAATTATGATAATTCAATAAGTTTATAGTACTACATACGAGGAAGAAGTTACATGTTATTATTTTTTTTGTTCTTTCTTATGCAATCCATTCTCAATTCACGACTTGTGTAAAAGACGCACATTCGACGAAAAAATAAACGCGATCATTTTATGAAATCTAATTATTATCACGAGCATAAACGCCCGACATATTATGGTCAATCGTGGTTGTGCGGACAACAAATTATCCTTATTATATGTTCGTGCATATCTTGTTAACAATACTGGTCTAGCTACGTACTCACTAGCGAGATTAAATCAACAATTCCTTCGAGAATCTAGAAGCGAGAAAGGTACACTTGGAAAATCGTAAAATTCTAACGGGAGAAATGCGTTAGGAAAATATTCGCAATTCTTAAATAGTAGTTCAATAGAATTTCATCGACCGCTTGCGATATACAATTGTCAGCAGAAATCTAACATCGAAGACATTTTCGAGCCATGTTAAGTCTCTTTAAATATCAGGTCGCACTAAAAGTTCTTGCAATTTTTTTACAAAGTAATACATACAACATAATTACAGTTTTATTTCCAATATTCTAGATTGAATTGTATGTACTGCTAATATGAATTCTGTATCCGTCCAACTAATGCAATACAGCTTATCTTCGAGTATGAAAAAGCGTTGAATCTTGATATGTGCAGTTTTTCGAAATAGCTAAATGCAACGAAAAATAATTCTAGAATCAATGGACCATTTTAGCGTGACCTAATATAAATTTCGCGATAACGGCATTCTTTCTACTAACATTAGGAACAAAACTAACATTAAATACGCGATATAGATCAGTCTTATAAACCATAAAAATTTTTGGAAACATATTTTAGTAAATATAATCGTTGAATTGCGTGCATATGGTTCAGAGCACGTTGATAAGTAATAACTACATTTTGCTGACATTTTTCCCGCTCCGGCTTTTCTTCGATCTATTCTTTATAAAAAATACGTAACGACTTATAAATCTCCTACATACGTCCGCTCGAATTTCTCGTTCATTCTTCTACACTCAGGGAAGGGAGGGATCGCGTGTGCGTTATCTCGTCATACCTGTCTCTTAGCTAGTCCCATATTTACTGCTTTCAAACGTTCCACGCCTGAAGAACGAACTAAATTCCAGCAAAGATTGCTTATCTATGTTGCTTAAGTTGCCCTTGTACTTGTAAAGAGATTCGCAGTGCGGTAATTCTGAGCAGACCTGAATCAACCGTCGCAGGTATTCCTCTAATCGTTTTCTGCGTTGCCGTGCAACGACTTCGTACCTTGCGAACACTTGACGGGGTGGGAAACGGATCGCTGATACCTATACAAGACACATGAAACCATTGAAGGGGATTTTAATATTTTTTCTGGGAGTCATAATAATATTATACAGTCTTTGGGCAAAATTCCGGCTTACCTTACTACCATACTTTTGTCGCATAGAAATATACAGCTCTCGAAATCTTCTGTATCTACGCAAAAGTGTCCAGCTATCGTCCTGCGCCACAACGCGTACCTCGTATTCATAGTGACTGGACGTTCCGGCCCCACGTATCACGTAAGAGGGTATACTAACAATCATGTTAATCACGCTGTCATAGTCGGCCTCATTCGCTATTAAAGACGGCAAGGATCGTGTGATCGTCAATGAATACGGACTACTCAATCGATCACCTCGATTTTGGCTCTGACATAAAAATATTTATAGTAAATGTATCTTCTGCTTTTGTTTTGTGTATGCAGAAGTCTTTATCGAATAGGCAACAACGAATTTCTGCGTAATTATTACTTTAAGGATAATTAAGAAAGATTACCGTTAAGTACACCGTCGAATATCCTCTTCCCGATGATACCCGAGGCGCAACTGACTCCGACAGATGTTCCTCGTCATTGGCATTAGGCCTGTTGTTCCTGAGAATTGGAGATCGCATTGTGGTCACGGTCAGTAGAGCGGCCGAGTTGTTTGTAGACTCCACGTCATAAGTATTTGTTCCTACGATCTCTACATCGTTGTCACCGTTTGCTAGCCTATCTTCGTCACCGCACTGTGACTTGGTCTGTTGTTTGAGATTCTTTTTTTCATCCTCCAACAACGATACTTCTAATTCGATCTGTTGTTTCTGAAGATCTTGCAAAACCGCTATCTGCTTGTTCAGATCTTCTTTGGATGGTGTGCTTGATTCCAAGCACCGCATTACCATCATTCGTTGACGAGCGATTCTTTGGTTCAAACGTTTCATCGCTGGATTCTGTTGCACCGGCGATTCCAACGAATCCTCGAGGATCTCCTCCTCAGTAACGGAATTCGTCGTGGACTTAGATTCCGTTTTCTCTCCGTTAGCACTACCGTTACATCTCTCCGCTTTAGTTATCATTTCTACTGACGGCATCCTGTTCGAATTCAACGAACTTTGATTCCTTGCTTCGCATAATTTGGCTCTATCGCGTTCAGAAAGAACGTCTGGCGAATCTTCTCGCTCATCAGATTCCCTTCGTTCGTCGTTTGGCGTAGACTCTATTGTTCTCGCGTCTTCGAAAAGCATACGAGGTTCAGGTGAATCTGCTGCGGCTGTGTGAAAAGTATCTGCGGTCTCGATGGAGCTTGGTAAATTTTGTGGCAGTAAGCTGAGTGCAGAGGCTATTTGAAGCTTCCTATTGCATGCGTCCTGGAATGACTGAGTATCTCCATTCGAAAATACATCGTCGCAAGAACCATCGCCTGGAGAAGCGGGTAACGCGCGTTTTAAGTTTAATGAGAGGCTCTGTTTCCTTTTCAAGATCTCCTGCAGTTGTTCCTGGCTACGTTTAGCCAGTAGTATCTTCTTTTCTGTGTTCCCTTCTCCTTCCAACTAGTGGAAAAACGTTTTACTAACAACGAGGGAAGTAATGTAATTACTAACTTCCAGAATATATACTTACCTCTAGATTTAACATATGCTTTTGTTTCTTGGCGATCTCCATCAACTCCTCCTCCATTTTATCCACTTTGCTTTGGTGCTCGTTAAGAGACTTCACTTTGTTTTGTAACTCGGTTTCCAACGCAGCTAATTCTTTTTTCTGCAAGGTAAATCATTAGTTGAAAATTCGTATGAAAATCAATTTTCGACGAATAACTACGGTCCGCCCTAGTTTCCAGAATTACTTTACGCGTTAAATTAAGATTATAATTAAATCAGAGATTTGGTACAATTCCGGGTTCACTTACATGATGATTAACAAGCTCTCTCACCGCGTTAACGCATTTATCATCGTTCAAGCTCGACCAAGATTCTGGCAAGCTGCCGTCGCTCCCAGCCCCTTCGTCGGTCTGAAACGGTACACTTTTCTTTCTAAACTGCAAAACTACTAAACTGTATTCCTACATTAGTATGTATTAATCATGATCGAAACAGAAAAGAAAGAAAACGAATGGGAGAACAAAGGAGTGATTGAGTAACAAAAAAAAAGAAAAAAGAGAGAGGCAAGATGCAAGGTTGTATGGTTGCGTGCGATTACTTTCTTCTATGCTTCTTTTTTCTTTTCAAAAAATTTCACTTGGTAGTTCGTGCCGTCAAACTACACACTACAGCACTACGTGCCGCGTAAGTTTAGTCAAATTTTTCCTTTCCCTAATAAGTGATTCTTACCTTCTCCCACCATTGTTGGAATCTTTGAGCGCGTTCGTGATTGCTCATGAACTCTTGAAACTGACGATGCTTGGACTGCAATGTTGTGCGCAGAGAGGCAGTTTCCCTACATAAATTTTCTACCTAGTACCACACACACACAGATATCGATGCATTAACAAAAAAGATAACTGAAAAAAATATAGTTTAGACGCGCTTCATTCCTTCTTTCTTTTATTCCGATTAAATGAACATCTTACACAGTAAGAACCAGGCGCATTACCTATTTTTCGTTCTTTTCAATCAATCGGTATGAGTACCTGATACTTGATTATCGTTTACGAGGCAATGATAGATAAATAAAAATAAAAGCATGCCGTTTCTTTATGCATCTGTGTTAATAAATGTACGAAGGGTTCTACATAGAGTTGAGCAAATCTCGTTCAAATAAACACCTGGAATTAACTTCTAAATTCTCCTTTTTAGAACATTATCAAATTCGAACAGTTTGATTTATTCTAAAAATATGTTTATTTGAAGTCTTATTTAATTGTCCAACTCCTCGACTACGTTAATGCAGGAATCGATTAAACTTGGCTGAATGTGAAAGAAAAATGATAAAATTAACGAAACTGGTGAAGTATTCGCGACGATATACATTACCTTAATACATTATTCGGTTAGTTAGATCTTTCAAATTCCACATCAGCACTCGACAAAGTGCATGCGTGGACCCGTACCCGAACAAAATATTGTTAACAAAGATACACTGGGTTTGTTAATCGGGAGCGTTAAATCTCTCGACCGTGTAAGTATAATGTTTAACAGAGTACGAGTGAGAAATAGAAATTGTGTATAGAAGTGTGCGTGCAACATATGTAACGTGGAAGATCGAACGCCAATTTTCGTAAGAAAAATTTATTAATCAACAAAGTATTCGTATATATATATATATATATTATATATATGTATATAATAACAACAGTTCTTTCTCGCATAACAAACCCATATATATATAGAGTCATTCCTACAAAACAAGCCCAGATATTTACATAGTAAAACGTTTCTTGTTTTTAGTTTACCTTAACAATCGTCTACAAGGTACTTAACATATAACATTCCACGGAATGCCATATTTGTCCGGCAATATCTCGTCAACACTGGCACTTTGAAACGTTCTCAAGCAGGTTATCGTCATTAAGCTTTTATCTATCTAAATCGCTATTAAAAAAATAAGCGTTATAACTTTCTCTATAGCCGACTATCGTCTGCAATTAGGTGCGCCTTTCAACAGAGACCCGTAAATAGTACCTGTACAGAGACGAACGAATATAATGCAAAAACGAAATGAAACTTTCTTTTTCTTTACACGTCGGAAACAATTCATTTATACATTCGGACAAATATTGTCCCGTTAACAATGTAATTAAGTACATTAGTTACATTATATTACACTCAGGAGAAAACCCTGATAATTCGACGTCGTTCGTTGCCTTGAAGCACCTTCAAGCTTTAAATCTATCGTAAACTAAAGTGAAAAGACATAACTCTATCGACGCGAGTCATTTTTCTCTTTGCACCTTTGCCGTTCAAATATCTACATAACTTGTGAACACAGCTTGACGGAGAATGTGATACGAGATCTCTCGATAGTCTTCTATGAACATTAATCGTTCCGGGGGTCACATGTTCAATGGGCAAACGTGCGAGTAGATGATGATGTTGCCAGACAAGCAAATAAGGACACCGAGAGCAATAAGGACGAGGTAGAATTGATACTTGATCGAGATTACGTTCAGATCCGGAGACGGCGCGTCCGAGTCACTTACTTGCGTCATTTCGTCCCGTCGTTCTTGCTCCAAGAGGTGACGTCGTGTTCGCAACTCGCGCTGCCTAGATTCAAGGGCCGCGATCGCGTCCGCCCACTCTTTCCACTGGGCACCCCATTCGCGCTCCAACTCGCGTTGCGCTCCCTCCAGAGCCTCTCTTCTCGCGGCCCATCTTTCTTCCCTCTCCTCTTGTTCCCTCTGGGAAAATCAGATCTTTTTATCATCAATCGTTTTGATCTCTAAGAACATCAAATTGTTCTAGTAATAACTGTGAAGCCGCTCAGTTATTTCGAGTTTAAGTAATTAATAGAATACTGTGTCCGAACCTTGAAATCTTCCTTCTCCTTGATAAGAGCAGCCTTCTGCTGTTCGAGTTCTTCGAGCGCTCGAAGATCTTCGCTCGAATTTAAAAGGTTATCGCTAGAGGACGAGGCATGCAAATCCGAGACACTCCAACTCAAGAGAGACAGTCTTGAAAGATTGACGACCGTGGACTGTAAGTTACCGTTACCCGTTCCACCCTCCTTTCTCAGTTTCGCAGCTTCAGCCGGATCGTTATATCGAAACATATTGTTCCGGCCAAGAAGAATGATACAGCCTTGCGACAACCGCGTCGGCTTATCTACTTGAGCAGTGTTGATCCAGCAGTGGGGAGAAAGGGGATGAAGGGTCGCCACTCCGCTATCTAACTCGACCACACAGTGCTCTGGCTCGACATCCGCGCCAGTTAACACAATATCCTGTTCATTAAATAGTACCATTACACTAATTTTAAGCATATTAAATTTAAAGAATGTAAAAAGATAAAGAAAGACCAGAACGAGAAAAGATAGCAGCTGTACAGAGAACGTTGGAAGGTCATTTACCTGGGTGGCCGGTGCTTCTTCCGTTCCAACTAATGTTTTACCCTCCTTCAGATGATAAAGCGTAACACCAGTGCTAAGCAAATCATCGTCAATTCCTACTAAGTGTGGCATCTCGGAATCCAAAACCACACCGACACCACTCTTACGAAGGCCTAACGCTTTCTGTTCTTGCAGAATTTGCTGCGTCTCTCGCCACTTTTCCGTCCATTCTTCCGTCAACACTTTCTCCTGTTCCTGTTTCTCATGAATCTGCGCTAACAATACCTGTGGCGGCCTTTCGACGCTCTGGAGTAGAAAGGTAAACAATATCTTTACTTTATTGATTCTTTGATTAAACAAAAAAAAATCGTACGTCTTTGGATACTTGCCACATCTTTGTCAATGAGGGACTTTAACTTTTGTATTTCTTCCCTGAGTTCCCTGATCAGTTTCACGTTCGGATCTTCGTTAATGGTCGGTTTGTTAATGATGTTCTTCGCCCGGTTAGCGTACCTGAGTGTACTCAGAGTCTCGCCGTAATTACAATCGGCCGGACTAATAGCAGCTATCATAATTGTCTTAGAATTACCACCAAGCGAATCCTTTAGCAACCACGTCAGCACACTGTCCCGATAAGGTATAAAGACGTTGCGCTTAGAGGACGAAGACGCATCGCCCGTGGAACTAACTTCCGCGAGCGCCGATATCACAGAGCCTAAAGTCACCAATGACTTATTTATGTGCGCACCCTCTTTCAGTCGTTGGCCTGTCGCACCGGTCGCGTTTGCACGTTCGCTAAACAAATATATGCAAACACGTCAGCTTGTGTCATTGTCGAGTAGCGCAACTATGCTCTGTTTTTTGACGAGCGTAGGCAAAAAGTTAAATTCTTTAAAATAAATGAACATCATGAGATAATTGGGCATACTGTTATCAGTATTTCTTCTTTCGAATACAGTTTAATAATGAAATAAATTTTTGTCTACACTTCTCATCGACGAGATTACTCTCGAGACACTTGTTCCGACTACCTTCCGGCCAAGTCGACGAGATGCACCTTGGAAACGGTCTCCGACGGCATGTTGCCCTCAGACAGTCCAGCTTGCACGAACGTGATCGTAAAAATCGCATGACTCCTACTGCTCACGTCGTTCATGTTTGTGCTCGCCGTAGTTCTGTGCGTATTTCCTCTCACCATACATTCCTACGAGTCGCAATCATTTTTTATCTCAGTGTAAAGTCTCGGCTAGCGAGATCGTCGGTAGCGGGAGGGAGACCGGAAATGGAGGAGTCGCGTGTCCGTTTTACCTGTATGTCTGAATAATCGTACACGAGGTGGCTAGACAGGTCTTGGACGTAAGGCCCTCGTTTAGGATGTTCCCGTACTCGAAGAGAATGAGACTGTGACTGGTCCAGTCGTAAAAGGTCCCTGACCCTTTCATTGTGTATTTCCAGGAAAGATACTTCAGTTCTATATGACGCTCCGCTCTCTTTACCTGCGGCCATTCTAGCGAACAGCGTCTTACAAATCCGCGGTATCAGTCCTTGAGCCTCCTGATAATAAAACGTAATTACTTCGTATTGTTCTCGAAGCATCAGCTCGAAAATAAATTATATATTGAAATATTACTGGCGTGCCCATCATAGTAAAGGTCTTCCCAGACCCAGTCTGGCCGTAGGCAAACACGCAGGCATTGTAGCCCTCGAAGGCACTTTCTATTACGTCCGTACCAAGATCGTAGAAAACCTAGAAAAGGTGGACCATGAACAATCTGTCTATAGTACAATAAAATCCTTAGTTATTACTATTCATTGAAATTGTTTCCTATCACGTTTAAAGATAGCATCGTACATGCAAGAGTAATTTCAACAATAATTCACTTGAGACGTTTTAACGATCCGCCGAATGAATTAGAATCGCTAACAATTAATTAAATTACTTAGAAACTCTTTTATAATTAATGTAAATATGCCACGTGGCCTGCGTGATATTTAATTGCTCAACACGTGATAAGAACGTCGAACGGATTTATCGTTCCATTGGTAATTAAATTCATAACGATTTATCGAAATTTTCGATAAGAGCTCGTTCTTACGACTATGGTTTCTACTAGTTACTATGCCGGTGCACGTAAGCCGCTCTTCTATTTTAATTCTGATTGTGGCTCATCGTCAAAACATTGCCCAATGCAATCTTGCAAATCGATCGATCGCGATAATATATCTCAGTCATTTAAATAAAAGAAAATTGCGCTCATGGGAAAGCCAATATTGTTTCAGTAAACACGGCGCGTTTCTCAATTTCAAAGACTAACATTACTCGATGTAATCATGAAGTATAAGGTGCGCTCTTTTAAACACTTAATAATTTTTAATTATCAAGTTCTATCAAGTTAAACTTTCCACTACTGTTATTCATTTAAAACGATACAATCTTGTTAGTTTATAATATAAAAAATGGCATATGCACCTCTTCTTGGGACGCATAATTCTCGTCGTTCGTATCGTAGGACCAGTACGAGTAATCGAACGTGAAGTCTTTGTATTTTTCCCTGTCGATTTCTCTGCAGCTACCCGGTGTCTGGAAATAACGCGTACAAGAGACCATTGAGTTAAACGAGCAGTTTTATTAAAACAGAAGTTTTCATTGATTTCAATCGAGTGGATTAAGAAGCTATAAGCGTAATCGAAAAATTCTTTTACGCAATAGCAATAAAATTGTGATCAAGGTTGCTACGTTATGAAGAACGTTGACTGACACGGGTCAAAAGCTGGTACAATGACTGATGTGAAAGAAGCGGATCATTCATAAGTGGCTGGCAAACAGTAAGCCGTTATGTCACGTGCATTCGTTAGGTTGCATCCCACATAACTAATCGTATACTATCGAGAGCCGCTTCGTCAATTACGCAACACAAGGCGAGTAGCAGGCAATTAAAAAGTAAAACTCCTTATGTGCGCCCATCATGCAACCGGAAATAAGCAGAAGTTCTAATGGTGAGAGTCGTTACCCGCTCGAGTATCGCGATCAAATCGTGTTCAATACCGCAAGAAATGTAAAAAGATTAGCACGCTAGAATAATCGTACATAATCGAAGTAAAATTCATGCTCATTCGTTATACCAAACCAACAATAAGCATAATTAAGGTGAGAAAATCGTCGCATTTTATCGTTAAGGTCATCATCAGCTCTGCGATAGGATTATATAGGATTGCTCTTTGTTTCACTATCGGATGGGAAACACAAATTCGTATTATTTCATAGTGGAGTTTTATTTTATTTGGTGACGCGGGTCTCGGCTAAAACTGATTCGCGCGGTTTAGAATGCGTCATGTCCCCGTGAAGAACAGTCACGCTGCGTGCACTAGATTTCCATAAACTTGTTTTACCGTGCCACCGATATAACCAAAGAACCGCCTTACGGTAATTACGCCAAGATAAACGTATTCATGAACTTCCTCCGTAAAAACGATCGTATAAACCGTATCTATAATCATGAGATAAGCATCGATGCAGCGTTTGCATTTTACGTTTTGAAACAAGACTCATTGGAATGGACATATATGAACAATATTTCTACGCTAGACCATAAAATAATTTTGAAACAAGCAGTCGTAAAAAGTACGTAGGAAGTCGATTCGATCAGAAAAGGAAATAAAAGACTCGTTGCAAATGAAATGAAGTAAACATCTAGTACGTCGATGTATATCAGCAGAAAGGCACACAAATAATGCGAGCGATTCTGTGATTTACACGTTGTTTGTACAAAGGTAGAAAAAAAGTTACATCCAGATGGAACGTGTATTAATCTCGATACGATCAGTTTTGTGGTTTAGCGTTGTGCGACGGAAAGTGACTCGTCCAGGATTGGTCCAGCAACGATTTTCGCACTTTCTCCGATCAGATGACGGTGTCGTTCACTATCTCGCTCGCGAGATCTCGGTCAGAGATTTCGCTTGACAAGCGTGGATATCAATGATGTAACATTAAGAACAACAAACAATCCTCCGGATGGTAAGAGGAGATTCAACATGTATCAGCGTTCGCGAGAACAATACGGATACGCGGTCGCTGTTTAACAGTTTAATGGGTCAACAGCCGAACGAAAATTATGACACGGCCCGAGGAGTGTTTTATTTTACGCAGCGCAGCGGACAACGGTAAAACGGTGCGCGATAAAATAAAGTAGTCGGCTACACAGTCTAGAAATCTTTTTTAGAAAGTTTCGTTCGCGATCATTAAGAACAAGTACCGCGCAAAAGATTAGCAACGGATCGCTTTGTTGCGGACAGCATTGCGGGTAGACTATATAACGTTTACAAGGGAGGTGTGTTAACCATAATAAGTAAGTAACGGTTAGTTTCTTATCGTGCAGCGTCAGATACTGTACTTGCGAATTGTTACGAGTTACCTTGGTATTGAATATCCGTGTTCTTTTGCCATCCATTTGCACGATCATCTTTGCATTCATCGCCAGTTCCCTGGAATTACAAATTCGAGATTCACACACTGAACAAACAATCAGACACTTTCCCACTTCGTATTACGAATACACGTTGGAAAGAAAAAAAATGACGAAAGGAAACGAGGGATACAAAACAAATCACAATGACATCGAATATGAAACGAATGACAGCAGGTGGCAAAATTTCGTTGCACAGTCGTCGCCGCACCGGATGGGTCGATCGAAACCATATGATTGATCGTTCCATGAAACTCGAATTACGTTCGAAGGTCGAGGGCTCACGAATCGCATCGGAGGCATGTTTAACGACAATGTCAATCGAAATTTCTTTCACGAACCATTCGAACAACGGCAGAAGTTACAAGAACCGGAAAGTCGGGGTTGCGACGAATAAAAATGCTTATCGCGAAACGTCGTAGTTTATCACCAGTTGCTTATAAAAGCACGCACCTTTTGTTAAAGGGACGAACTCTCACGGCTACCTTCACTGAAGCCATGGCTACGGGGAGCGCATGGACTTTGTGACGAGGGATGACCATGCACCGTGTCTTTCTCGACCGTTCTCGTCCGGTTTATCGACTCGCGTTACGCAAACACGAAGTATTCAACGGCTCTACGTGGACAGCACATCGTCGACGAGCTCCGCTGTGCTACGAAACGTCGTCCTCGTCGGCCCTCGTACGCGACGAACAGCATCGTCCCCGGACACGTTCACGACAGACGGATGACTGCGCTGGGTAGCCGCTGCCGAGACAAAAAATCGTGTTGCCACGCATGCGCGCAAATCCCTAATTTCAAGTGATCCCGCACATTTGCTTGTTCCTCGTGACGGCGGATGGAAAACGCGACGGAACACACGGTCGTGATGAAAAAAGAATGAAGGAAGAAACCAGCGAAGGATGCTACGGCGACGGGGAAGACGGGACGAGAAGGATAAAGTGAATCGGCGACGAAACTGCGGAAAAAGAAAGGGAGAGACGGCGAAACAGGTTTTGTATTCCCCTTCTTGAAAATGTGACGTCACCGCGGGATCGGTATGATAGGCAATGCGGTTGGAGAGTGAACGGAGAAGGCGAGCCACCCACGCGGCGGACCGAGAGAGCTAAATCGAACGCTTTGCGGTTTCTCGAAGCGCGTAACGGCGGTCGTACGAAGAATTCATGTCGTTTTGTTATCCAGCTGGAGATTACGCATCGATGGTGGGCACGGATCCAGGACAAGAGTAGGTTCTAACTACCTGCCCACGCAAAGAACTACCGCGAAAAGAAAACGCTTTGCAGACGACGCTGGCTTCGTCGCGGATGCATTTATGTTCAAACGTAAGCAGTGCGTCGTCGCGGGTCAACGGACCTTTCGAAACTTTGGCACAACCTCCTAAATGGGAAGAATTATTAGTGCCGTATTTCCGAAAGAGTGAGATAGCATTCGATGACCCATGCGATGACCTGCATAATCGTTCGCCAAATGACAGGTTCAGCAACTTTCTTGCGTGAAATTTACATATGCGTAATCTATCGCACGCAGATTCGCTAACCTGAGATCGTAAACAAAATTTTCTCTCCCCCTTCCATCGCGAGTCTAGTCTGTCTGCTCTAAATCCGGAGCTTGTTGCCTTCCCAAATGAACTCAGTTAAGGGACCATTCATACTCAGGTCTCGCCAAACTCGACTTCGATAGGACTCGACTTGCTATTAATGAGAGAGTCGCGATATGCATGATGCTAAAATCATTTTTTATAATAGCTCTTACGTGTATATTTATACGTTGTTTCAACATGCATAATGCGAAATCGTTCGCAAGGTTCAACTCGCGGCAACGAGAGCATACGTGCGATCGAAGTCTCGTAATGAAATAAGGCGTAATCAAATTGTACTGTGGTAATTACAAAACCGGCACCTGATATTGAGGAGCACGGCCTGATCATAAAACGGGAGCCTTGAAAAGACGAGTTATACGATATGCTCGGCGCATAATGATTCATAGCCGATTGAAATGATGTAACCGTTGCCTATGTGCCGCGGTGGTAAATATGTACTGCTACAGAAAAACGTGTCGATCCTTTGATTCCATTTAGGAAATACACTTCCCGTAGAACCAAATACGGCGACAGACTGTCGTCGTTCTCCGTTCTGCGTCATTATTATTCAAACGGCTGGAACGCGTTTAACGACGAAAAATGTCCGTAAGATAAGATACATAAGACGTCAGAGACCGCTTATCATAAGGATGACGTGTAAAAATCTAAAAACGCCGCAAGGTATTCTAAAAATGCACGACTATATCGAGTTTAATTAGTTCGAAATCCAAGGGCGTCAGTTATAATAATTACACACATTCGAATTAATGTTTTAATCATGCATCCATGAAGATGATTATTATTTGCACCCTTTGCATAATTTTATTGTAATCTAAGAATAGTTGATGCAGCAATTAAAATGCTTGTAGGTAACAAATTCTGATAATATTGACATTCATCACTGTGTGATTAAAATTTTCCATTTCTGTGGAATATACCGCCGCTATCGCGTCGATTCTTAGTAAGTGCTGCTGCTAAATGATGTTCTCAGAAACAATTGACAGCGTTGGCTCGGTCGATAGTCAGGAAACATTCGATCGACGCGGTTTGGCGGCAGCACTGGTATGAGAAACACGAAAATCCCGGGCGTGAGCATTCTCGTTGCCTCTCTGCCGCGGTGAAGCAAGAGGGGAGGTCAAAGACGCAGCATGGTGGCGCGACGGGACGGGGTTAGTTCATTCGAAAAACGAAGCCGAGTATCAGTCGGGTGGCAACTGTCGGGCATGTGCGTCGTCCCTTTTGCCTTTGTAGTCGCGCATTGAGATCGGACACAGAACGTTTTTGCATGTACACACCGGTACGCGAACGAACGAGGGACAGTCTGCGAACATGTGATTTTGACAGAGAACACGGTACGTTTAGGCCAGCTAGAGCGTGCGTGAAAAGTGTAGTTCACCCTGGTCGGATATATCGTCACCCCGTAGTAGCAGCAGCCTCGTTCGAGGGGGTGGAGAATAATGTTCTGAGTCGTGAGCCACGCACATCATGGTTGCTAAGCACTTCACGCAGGGTAAGTTCCGCAAACTGTTCCCGACTTTCCTTTCTGCCCTACGTATCTACCTGCTGCGTTTCCCTTTTCGACGATCTGATAAATACGTCTCGGAATCGCTGCGTACCCTACAGGAGAAAGCGTACACACGCACCGTCCATGGTGCACCAAGACGGTGCATGGTGGGTGGGTGCAACTCGATTGTGTAATAATAATAATAGGAGTAAAACTAAACAGGTTCGAGTCACATTTTTATCATTATTACAATATATTTTAATAATTAATGCGATACTACTCAGTGACATTTCTACATAAGTAGTTATAATCGAACAATGTCGTGGTCCTTCGTTGTTTTCCATCGATTATTCGAAAGGTGTTCCTTGAACGTAAAAGTTTAGACAATTTGTACTCGTAAACGTCGATGTTTTGAAACTGATAATAGACGCGTTGTGTGGGGCCCGAACGTAGATGTTTAAACATTGTGATTTCGAAGAATGCTTTCTATTTTGATCACGTTTTTCAAGTAAAAAGCGTCAGTCGGGGCGGAGTAGCATTGACCGATTGTTCTGGGGATAAGCTGGAGTTTGCGTGAGCCCGATGTCAAGTTCGTGGTGGCTTTTAAACTGTTCGTTCGATGTCCCATCGATCGACGCTGTTTAATCTTGCACTCGCGTGCCCTTATACATATCTACCGTGTTTTGCATAACAATATTTCTTCGAATCGTGAGGCGAGAAACGAAACCAGCCGTACTTCTTCTTAGACTAGTATTTGGCCGTCGAATGATTAAGGGAAGTACAGTTTTATTTTCGGCCAATTCGTCGGCGTTCATCAACCCCTTTAATTTGCGACGAAACATCTGGTGGCTTAGTAACACGCGATAATCTCCGACATAATTGCGAATTCACCCTTGAACACCGCTCCATCACGCGCAGTAGGTGTAAATGTCAGTAGATTTTTCACGGAATCTCGATCAACGGAGAAGGAGGCGTTGCACGATGATTCTTCCGCTCCGAATCCGTCAACCCTTCCTTCATCCACATCTGTGTATGCACATACATCCGCAGTGCAGTGATACTTTCCAGGGATTTCCATCTTTTATATCGCTCCTTTAAAATTCTTTTATCATTCTGGTCGATAAAAAACACCTACACTTCCTCTGCGCTTCTGAAAGAGCCTTCTTATCTCTAATGATACAAGGTTCTATAAAATTATTCCCCGAATCCTTCCAACTTTAGCAATATGGAACTTGTAATTCGATTCTAATTAGAATTAGCACTGACTCATGTTGAAAATTCCTCGAGGCTTCTCATTCATCAAGTAAAAACGATCTTTCCTATGTATTTATGATACACGATCCATTACTGTGCTGATGATCAGCTCACAGTACAATCCTGTAGCGTTTATGACTGTTTAATGTGTATGTCTACTTTAACACGGGTTGGGTTATCATGTCGCGTATGATAAAACCGCTTACGATACAAACACGGGTGTAAGTGCATGTACTGGAATGTTAACACGACTAAAATAATAATTGAAATTGTATACATATGATTAAAATAATTTGTATGGGTTTAACTAGGAATGTTTCTTTAATAATATTTTATAGAACGAAACAAGTCTCGGTTTGAAAGTGCCGAAAATTAAAAAGCCACGCGAAACTCGAGCGAGCACTCGGGCAAAACTACTCTTGTCCTCGTATGAGCACTGAAAGCAGTAGGACGACTAATTGGGTGATGGCATTTTGCTTTGTACGCGCGAAGCATTTTTATTAGAATACTCGTTTAACCGTATCCGGCCGAAAGTATTTAAAACAATGATTCTTCCTTTCTGTCGATAGAAACATAGGATCAATCTGTGCTGATTAAGATATATGTATGCATTCTTGGAATGCTGGCTTCTAAGAAAACTAATTCGTTCCCGCTTGATCCACGCGATAGATAGGAAGCGTGAAGATTTCTTCCATGAGATTAAGTGGTTCAGATCAATTTTCCGGTAGTTTTGCAGATACGTTCGCGTGTTTACGAAAAGATTCGCGTAGTTTATGCGGAAACAGTTCTTCGAAATTCGATTTACGGTGACCCAGATCGTCTTTCTGAGAAACTTTTCTCTACGGACGGGTATACTCGTGTATCGTGGACATCTCGGAGGAGTGAGTCACGGACGGTATCCCGGTGAAGGCAGGTTTCCCCGGAATTTCGTGCCCGTGCAATGAATCACACGGACACGGATGTCGAAAAATAGAATTTTATACCTGAAACTCGCATTCTTTTCAAATATGTAAAAAGATTTTTATCGCTTCTCAATGATTTCTGAGGTTTACTTTAAATTCTGTACATCTAATATTTTTGTATGTACTTGGTATGAAATGTTGCTGTTCGAATTGCGTAAAGAATGGTTTGAATTCGACTGTCGGGATTTTAAGGAGCCGTACATAGGAAGAGAAGAGTCATACGCGTGGAAGACTTCGGCATTTCGGACAGGTTAATACGCCGGTGTTCTGTATATGATAATGGAGCGAGTTAATTATTTCCTCCCGTTGTTGCGTGTCGTCGACCTCCCTGAGAACTCTTCAGGACTGTACTATCGTTGGATCGTTGGCACGAGAGCTTCGGCCTCGATCGGCTGCATGAATTTTCTTGAAGGTAGTGCGCCATAAAAGGAAAGGAGGAAGGACAAGCGGAGAAACAAAGGGAGAAGAAAATGAAATAAAGCCCGTCTCTTACGTAGGGGCATAAGTACGTGCCGAAGAGAAATGCAATCACCGAGTTTTATGGTTTTCAATTAAAAGAGTAACGGACGCTTGTTAATGTTATTGCACCTCTCAATTTTTGTGTACGAGGTGAGTCAACCACCGTTTGAAATCATGCTTTAAGTATTGGAAAATCAATTTAGGTTTCATAAACAAGAATCTGTCTTATGTATTGATTGAAAAATTATAGAAGGCTTGAAAACTGTTTGCCATAAAATATGCACAATATTAAAAAGTACGATGTTTAAATTACAGAAATATCAATTTGAAACACGTTTTTTAAATTAATACCGTAACTGTTTCGTTTTGCACAAAAATTTGCAGTTTATAATAAATGTTTAGTAGGTCCCTTTCAATCATATCAGTAAATTATTTATTGCAAATGACAGTTTTAAGTGACTCAATATGATTAAGTATACTATAATGAAAATTGAGTACGAGACATACGACATGATTTTGTAAAGCTGTATCAATATAATGTGAAGGATTTTCGTTTGGGGAAACGACCTCTTTTCGAGTGGAGCTGCTTTAGAGATTTTTTTCTGTACGACTTCAAAGTGAAAGAGCTTCCGGTTCTCCAGTCTTTAAATTCGTTCTTCAAAGTAAATTGGAGGCAGAGATGAATAATTATTCTCGACTGATAAATATATGCCACCCTCTCCGTGTCCTTCCCTTTTCGTTAATATATTCTAACCGTGTGTCGTTTCTCTTTACTCTGTAAATGATATTCAGCCACAGACAAGAACTATGAGTAGACCGTTCACCTGATAAACTTCTTTATATTACATTCGACATCCATACCGACACGATAAATTACTAATTCGAGCATATACATTAAATTATTGAAATGATTTTAAATATCCACTCTCAGGATTGTTCATTTATTTAAGGATTGAAGGATCAATTTCCTTTGAACTCCACTCGTTAATGAATAATTGGTGATGAACGAAATAATTAATCGATTAGCCCTGAAGTATTCCAGATAGAAGAAAATTGTATACGACAGGTAATAGCAGTACTTACAACTTTTATTTAAAGCATCTTTTTAAATTTTATTTTTCCGAGATTTTGTCAAGGGGATAGCCCTTCAGATTTTGCGAAAAAAATTTACGTTTATGGCAAATAACTGCTTACCTATTACCGTTAGTGAAAAATGTTTCAAGTGAGAGTTGTCAGCTACAAGAAAGTGTTTCCTTCTAGTTCGGATAATTCAGGAATAAAAATTGTGAAGCATCGAAGAACGACGTCTAGGAAGATCTAAGAAAGGAGAGAGACTGTTCGGTTGATGAAAAGAAACGAGAGAGAACGTTAATCGGAGTGCCGTTTGCGAGCCATGGAAATTGAATACAAGACGGTCCCGGTGATCCTCGAGTTTCCACGACCTCCGTGCATTAGGCGACACTTCTTCCTCGCAAACACGGTTTAATCTCGGAAAGCGAGCGCACCGACCGCGTTCCGAGTAGGATTACGTTTAAATCCAATGTGCACGCGACGCAGATTCCTCTTTTTCAACACTTTCTCGTCTCGCTCATTCCCTGATGCAATTTTTATGCACATCAAATTTAATCATTCTCCGTCTCAATATTAGAAACATCCATTTGAAGACAATGATTAGGTACAGTATTGAGAACCCCCCAAAAAAAATCTGATTTCGCCTGAAATCATGGACCACGTGCTCGGAGTACGCAGCTGCGAAGAGTAACAGCAGCAGCGCACATGCACCTGCGGTCGCGTTGCACCTGCACGTCAGCTGCCGTGGTCCTATTTCTTCAAGGCCATCGGTCACGTGACGGTCCTCGTGTCTGTCGCGAAATTTGATATCTAGTGCACAGGTCCGTCGAATAATTCGCCTGCCAGCAGCCTGCGAGCACCGCTTCCGGTTAAATTATCTCAACTGAATTGGCAGATTTTTAGTTCCACGAATTAAACGAAATTCGCTATCGCATCGCTTACCTTGATAAACCGTATTCGGCAAAAAAGCCACAAACGTGGGTGTACAGACGAGTGCTCAATGAACCGACGAAAAAAAGTATAAACCGCGACAGTTATATCGGGAGGCACGGTGTTTGAGGTAGGCGCCGCGATTAATTCCACACTCGGCTTGTGCGAGGGTACGCTAATTAAATCGAGATTGCGATCAAACAGCTGGAATTTTTCCTTGAAACCTCGTAACACACTGATTCCATTGAATCGTTACGGAGCTATGCGAGAAAATATTATACGCGCGTGGTAAATACATTTTAATTAACGTTACACGCATTCGAGTTAAAATTTCTTCTGGATATACGATACGGTTCGATGCTATAAAATAGAATAGGGGACTGTTTAAACTTGGCGTGACAGACGCCTGTTGGAAAATAAACCTTATTCAAATGGTTCTTGGTGATGGAATGATGCGAGAGGAAAATTACTTTAGGATTAGTAGGACTTATTTAGGAGCAGCGTTGAGATTGATCCGTTAGAGTAGCTGCTCGTGTAATACACCTCAATCGTTGGAGATTGACCACTCAACTAGGGACGTACGTTATTGTCTGATCTGAACAACAGGTGGTCAGGGAATTTACTAGGTTTCCATATCGCGTTGCTGCTAAACGCTAAACGAATGGATCAATGTTAAGTACTCGGTTGAGCGACAGCTTGTAGAAACTGAAGTGACCACGTGGAGAGTCAGATTTTAGAATAAAACCATTTAATCGCGAGAAAAAATATTTAAAAAGTCGTATGATCAGTGAGTTTCGTTTTTGTGTAAATGAATTTGTTTTATTTGTTTCAGGTTCCAGCCCTGAGCTGGGTGTCCCAGATATGACAGTGATCAGCGATATCGACGAGACGGGAATCAATCGAAATCTCCAAGTCCGGTACGGGAGGGATCAGATATATGTATCCTTTGGTTAATTACAATTGACGTGTGTATCCGTCATCAGGTAATAAAAGTCCCGGTTCTCACAGTTATTTTGAAGCGACATGGACCGTACACTGAACGGGTCCGTTGTGTTTTTTGTGGGTACCGCGTCAGCCGTTAAAACGGGGATCGATCCGAGCATGATTACAAAACCATATGAAATGGTTAATGTCGTAAGAAAGTCTGGTAGCACGTGTGAACGTTGTTTCAGTCGCGTAGAAGTTTCGCAAAAACCGGCGAACGGACGTCCGCCCATTTCGTAATTCATCGTTCGTACGCCCGGTAGTTAGAATTCTTCGCGCATTCTTGGGAACGAGCTCGATCTCGAGTTCGCTCTGTTCCCGTCCATCCGTCATTGACGTATTCAAACTATTTCAATTGAAATTTTTAAACACGCCGGAATTTAAGTCGTACGGGTATCGTCGAAAGGTTCGTACGTGAAATAAATTAAACACTTGCGAAACCCCATCTCTCGAAGAACTCTCAACCTGGAAAAAAGGGAGCATCTCCAGCTCTATCTCCAGTGTAGGGAAGCGAATTAGAGGCCGGAGTGCAATAGAGTATATACAAAGTGGAGTACAGATATGAAATACAGAGCGAGCTAGGTAGAATACGAACAAGAATCAGATGGAGACAGAGAGAAAACGAAAGAACAGCGCTAGAGGGGTTTAGAAGAGCTGTACGTATGAATTTTGTAGGGGTGGGGCGTTGCTCCCGGGTTGGTTCGTTGCCATGACGACAACCCCAGTCAGCTGGTGAACCACCCCAGGGCCAGACCCATTCATCCGCAGGTTTCGCCGACCCAACGACCGACACCGACACGACCCACTGTCGTTTCTCGTCGTACTTTAAACCCTTCTCCATCGTTCGCGCAGAGTCTGCCAAGACAGCCAAATGATCATTCCTACATTCTATTATTGCTCGATATTCATAGGATCGGATTGGATGTACCTATAGTACAATATAAAGTATCGGTTGCCTCGGGGAAAATATATTGGAGGTCTGCCGTCTGGGCGACTTCGTGAGACTCTTTTGTTGATATTGGTTCCTTAATTGGACTCGTTTCCCTGTTATTTAATTGGTTTAGTCGAGAATAGGAAGGGAAATGGTTCATTCATTGGTGACGAAACTAGTTATCAGTCTCGCTGATTTTATATGGTACGTCGTCCTGAACTTATTGAAACACGTCTCATGGAATTAAAATGTATACAGAGGGTGCCTCTTGAATCCATTTCAAAATTGATCTTTCCACCGCTCAATTAAATTTTCAAACACCTCGCTCTGTCAATTCCATTGTGGAAGTGAAACCATGAGAATCGTGGAGGAAGACGCGATCGATTCGAGCACGAATAGACGATGATATCTCGTTAACGAGTCGTCCAGGCCTCGTTCGCGTAATCGAGCGCGGCGTAGTTTTTGCTCGGTCGCTCGGTCGGTTCGGTCTGGATCAAATACCGGAATTCAAACGCGTGATGCGTTCGCCTCGACGATTTAGGTCGTCGGCGAAGCGCACTCGTTAGTGGACACTTCCTCGTGCGCGCGTGGGACGCGAAGTCGCCTATAAGAATAATGTTTTCTGTTCTACAAAATGTTCTTCAACTTCTGGAATCTAAAGCATTTCCTTAAGCAGTACGTTTATTACTGACTGTGTTCCCGGTAAAAAAAAGTCCTATTTATACGATGAACTTGGAAGCAATTCAATTGGTACATTTAATTAAGGAAAGTAAGCTTGCAGTTTTCTAGTACGTGGTCAGAGATCATTCAGTCTCCGCAGGAAGTTTAATTATCTGTTGATTGCAGCAAACGAATAAAACTCAAACGTTGAGGACGATCAATCCAAATATAATTAGTATAATTGACGAACATCCTGCAATTACATTAGCGAAGAACATTATCAACTATTTCAAATCCCAACAAAACATAATTGCGATATATCAAGAAAAGTCGTGTAACAGATCGCAGAAAAATGACGCTCATTAAATGTTTTGTGTCTATTAAAAATACAATGGTACAGTAAAAACTTGGAGTTTTCAAGTTGTCGAGGTCTCTGTGCCGAGTATCTTATTTGTATGCAGTTGATGTTTTCCCGGTCATGACGGGATTGTCAGCGGAACAACATCGACCGCCGGCGGTTCGCCTCGAAACTTTCAATTTTCCTAACGAAATTAATCGCGCCAGAGAATCCCGATACCGAACTACGCCGTTTTCGATTAATTAGCCCCGTTGCTCGTACTTTAACGAGATTCGATCGGCCGACACAAACGTTTCCCTACCGGGGGCGAAAGACTCGCTTAAGTGGAATTTATTATATTCGATCGATCGATCCGAACAAGATAATTGAACCGATTACATTATACGTAATTTGCTTGCCTATTGAAGATACCGAAAGTCTTTTTAAAAGACGAGTTTAATGCTATTGTAATTGCAGAATATATCAACAACTGTTTATTATAAGATAATACGCCGTTTAATAATGAAATAATTGGCAAAACTACCACCAGTACAATTCGTTTTTGACAAAAATATTAAGTCGGTTGACCGCGAGCCACCGTGAATCGGCGTAGATCAGTGGACACGAGAAAACTTGAAATTAAAACGCGTCGATCGACTCGAAGGGTGAACGAGATAACGTCCGCGTGGTAGAACAGAAGACGATGGATGATGCTCGATCGGATAACCAGGGTTGCAACTGGGGTGAGGGGATCGCGAAGCTTCCGGTTTCGACGACGTCGTCGCCGGGACCCAGGGTTAATCCGATATCCCGAAAGGGAAACGAGCCTGTGAAAAAAAAGAGCGTTGAGTAGCTCGTGCACCACCGGTAGATAATGGGTGGCCGGTGAAACGTAAACGTTGAAGAGACCAAGAGTTGCTCCCGTTCTTAACCCCTTTTCTCCCTGGTCTGCGTGCATGAACCTGCGATACAAACACTGCCGACACTCAGAACCGTTTAAAGTGTCGATTGCATTCAGGATTTATATTTCATTTTAAATTGAAGCCTGGTCGAAAACGGAGAAGGCATTGTTTTATTATTAGGAGGTTTCATTAATTCGTGCCGTACAATATATACATAGCATCCGATCACTTTTTCAAAGTAATCTAATTGTAATTGATGTATGCAGAAAATAATAAAGCACGTATCAACGCAACCGTCTAATACATCGGAGTAGTAATAAAAAATCTGAATTCGTATAAAAATATAAATTCGCGACAATAGTTTCTGGGATTGGTTCATTTTTCGCGACTAGTCTAACATTTGCGAGGGTGCACAGGCGACAAAGTGGCGCGGAGCAATTAGGGGTTAATGGATTTCAGCTGTACGGGCACCATTTCTACATTCGCTTTGATGCCTGACCGATTTCACGACCTTTGCTAATATTTCCACCGCCGACTATACCCGTGCGTACGGTTTCGCGACGAATATGCTCGGAGGGTGGTTCGGTCTCATTAACCTCTCGCCGGCGAAGCGCTCTTAGCCGGCTGCTTCAATTGCTTTCGTCGAGGATGAGCTTCGGCCACCTTTTAGCGGTGTTCCGAAACTCCCGGTGAAGTCGGTGGGGTGAGGTGAGGACGGGATACACGAGACCGGATGTGCGGCCTCTCGAGAGCCCCGTCCCGTGTTTGCCGAAGCTACCGCGATGGAAACGCGAATTGGGGCAACGAAAAGGAGCCAACAAAGTCGATCGTGTGCCCGCCGACCGTGTAATCTTTGATGCACTGCAGACGTTTGCAAGCTCGTTCATCTGTGCCACTGACGTAACTAAGGATTCAACGATTTCTTAAAAGATAAAATGAAGATCCTATGTAAACTCTTTGTGCAGATCTATAACTCATCGACTAAGTTGTATTATAATTAGCTAGCAGATTCATGATCCAAAGAATGCACGTGAATTATGAAAAATGCCTCGGATTTATTATAATATGTAGTAACGTCTAAAAGGTTTCTGTTATATTTCTCTCATCCTGCAAAAGTCTGCACTGCGCTACGCACAGTATGAACACACTACGCTTTTCTGTTTCATCCTCGACTTAGAGGGGTGGTAAAGTATTTTTTCGGGTCAGTCTTCTTTCAGGTCACTCGGTTCGTCTGTGTACGGAGGGTTTTATTGAAAATTTCATGCTCTGTTTGTCTAGCGCGCGCGAGACCATTGCACGGTTTTTGGGTCAGCCACCCTGTTTCGCGACGTGTGTCTGTTGACCCTCGAACCGGATACTGACCGTCATTAGGCGGCGCAGTGGAACCGCAGCACGAGAACCGAGGTCGAGTAGTGGTGATCGATGGCTAAAGCATATATACGTACATATGTATGCTGCAGTCCGCGTTTGCCTGGTCGAGAGACACTCTTTCAACGATAACTGTTTGTTTTTATTATCAAAGTTTCATCTCGTTACTCAGTGAGTTAGAAGTTCACGAGCTATTTGGCTGATTACAGAATATCTGAGAAAATTCGCCAGGTCCAACCATGAACGTCGAAAGAAAAAAGCGGTAGATTACACTCCCTTTGAAGTCGTTTTCTTTTTGTTGTCTCGGTTAAAGGGAAATAAGCCGTCTCTACCTTGGAGGCAAATTCTTAGTGGACGGAGAATCCGATTTCGTCACATTCTCTACTTTAGATTTCCTCTGTGACAATTCCAGTAAATTCGCTGCGCGTTAATGAATTGAATGGCAGAAAATTCCTCTTCTGCTTGAACTCTCTTAGCGTACGAAGTTGTGTTCGGCGATATGGCAAGCGTGTACTTGAAAATCGTCGGGATCGCCAGCGACGCCGACCTATGCACGTTAATACGAAGTCCTCTGAATAGAATTTCTCGAATTCCTCTTTCGGAACGCTTTTATACCAGTCTAGAGATTAATATCGGTGACGACAATGGGAGGAAATGCGGTTGCTCGTAAGGAGTTTCCGGGCTACAAATACACCAGTATTTCCTTTTGTGTGAAAAATTTGATCGTTTCTACATTTTCATTTACTCGAGAAACGTACAGTATTTAAAAAGTTCTCGGTTCTGCTTTCATACTTTTTGTTCTCGTGTTTTGCTAAGAACCTGGGCGCGGTTTCTTTACTGTGCAACATACTGATTGAAATGAAAGCAGCTTTGTTCCGTCACTCTTCATCTTCGCCGTTCGATCGATGAAGCCGTCTTTCGCTGTCAGGGTATCACGAATCTTGGAAACGACAGGTAGAAGGCCACCCTTTCGTCGCAATAGAGGACGAAATACATATTTACTGTCGGTGGACGGAAAGGTCGGTGGACTAAAATAGACGCAAACTGGCGTGGTCAAAGTAAAATGCGAAAGGTTGTAAAAGTGGCATTGGTCCCTGCTTTTCAGCCGAATTACAAGGGAAAAATACGACTCGTCGGCTCAGACGTTTACCTCATCAAATACGAACAGTTACTATTATTTATTGTTCGTGACGTCAATTTAGAAGACAAAATCTAAGTTGAGATTTCCTTTGCATTTCGTACAGGTTTGATTCTGCATATTTTTGCACGTTGCATACGGCGCGTTTAGTTATCATCTGTGATATTCTTTTCAATTGTCCTTCGGTAGCTTTAATTCTCATCTTTCCACCAGCATCGGTAAAGTTTTGAAAACTTGGCACGCGAGAAACGCTAGTATGCAGATCGTCAGAAAGTGTAACCGAACTCACCCCCTAGGCCTGAGATCAGCCGAGGGGGTCCACCACCCTCTGTTCCAAATGTTACAGAAGGGTACGTTTATAGGTGTATTATCCTCTTTCTCGCTGCCGGCATTCAGTCGTGAGTCATCCCCGTTCAAACTCACCCCACGGGTGTGACGTCATTTCAACGTTCCCCACCCGTTCGGATCGGAAAGCATGTCATCGTCGTCGGGTTATTATGCAAGGGAGAAGCTGGTGTAATCGCGACGTTCTCCGGAGAATTCTTCCTCGATGCGAAACCTCGTCAATCTTCTCTGTCGAGATTTATAGCGCGCTCTATCAACAGCTAAAATGTGCTCGTAGTAACGTATGTAAATATAGTCTCTCTTATTAAAATTGTCTTACACAGGATCAGGTTGTACGGGAATTTCGGAACCATTTATCATTGTCTGGTATTATAAATCAAATTAGACACGAGGCAATTTGTACTTCAGGAAAACTTTATTAGACGATACGACATATATAATCATTGGCTAAAATGATCGTTGAAATATTGACTGATTTTGTACAATCGTAGATACATCGAGTTGGTACAGCTTCAGTTATTTAATCGAGAACTTACACATACATATATATGTATACTATACTTTATCGATGGCTGTAAAAATGAAGGGAGAGTCGCAATATAGGGAATAGATGGGACGTCTCGATAAGGAGCTATCGAACGGGAGGGAAAAAATAGGCAGATATTCTGGAATCGACAAGACCAGTCTCGACAGATCGGGGAATCGTTAAAAGCGTTTCGCGTAGCTCCCTCGACTTCCGGTTTCGTCGGCTCTCTAACCACCATTCAATGCACCCACGATTTGGTCATTGTCGGGCGTTTTCTTCAGTCTTGCACTTGGGATCGAACAAGGGAGTGGATAATGGCGTATGGTAGAGAAGTACGAGACGGAACAGGGTCTAATTGCTAGGGTGGAGATCGAAACTTTGATTGAATCCGATTATTTGATTTTCGTATCTGGAACGGATTATTTTCGATGAGGGTGTATTGTTGCATCGTTCGAAATGTGGGACAGGCCTAGGCGGAATAAAAATACCCTGATCCGTAGTATACCCTGGAATAAAAAATAAGAAGTCGTTATTTGTTTTACATTGGATCAGAGAATATTGTATTTTATAATCCAGGATTTATAAATCTTTTTAAATTTCGACGCCATTCTTTAGTTCCGACAATTAATACGAGCTCGTGGAAAAAAGAATACGTACAGTGCTATGTATTCACTGCAACGCGCGTGTACGTCACGCGGACAGAGCAGATCCCCATTGGGAATGCATGTCGCATTATCATTCAAGGCTCACCAGGTTGGGGAATGAGAAATAATACCGTCGACACGGTTCCTTTCAGCCGCAGGTAAACACACCTTCCGGCCCGTTTTCCTTTTTTCGTAACTTTTCCTCGCTTCCTTTTATTTATCTCTCGCTGCCGCGGGCTCGATTAAGGATGTATTGGCTATACAGCCAATCCCAAAAGTTTCTATAC